AAAACAATTAACTTTATCAAAAATAGTTCTAACAAAAAAGTGACAGTAACAATATGTACGTAAGACACTAATACTGTAGTGATATTTTTTCTACAAAAATAATTCTCCTGATTATAATTCTCTACCATGTGATAATAGTGACAGATATTGAACACTTGTTCTTCTTATCAATGTATAATTGCAAATGCCAAACATTTTTTCCTAGTACGAAACGCGCTGATCTGCGACGTTGACTCGAACGATAATCCCAATACATGCCATAACAGAAAGAGAGAGAGAGAGAGAGAGAGAGATGCAGAGTCTGATCGCGTCTGATTGTATTCGGAGACGAATTAAGCCGTTAATTGCGACTTCCCGTGAGGATAATCTCGCCTCATTAGATAATCCTGACGTCGCGTTGCCTTTGCTTCTGCGAAGCTCAATAACGTCAAAGACCGTAATTGGCCGATTCCGCAGCTGGTTGAAATGGAGTTTCGCGAGCTGCGAGCGGGAAACGCGAGATATCGAACCGCCCTATAGGCATATCCACCGCCGCGCCTTCCACGATCTCACTTTGGCTTTTGCCAGCCGCCATCGATTTTTTGACGGATGATTGATGCGCGAATTCCGACCGCGTTCACGTTCGTCCATGTCGACGCGCGCGCGCGCACGCACGATCAAGAAAGAATAACTCGTCCGCGCGACATCGGGACACCGTATATATACGTGGATCTTTCTCGACTAAGTACATCCTCTTTTGCAACGCGGAAAACAAAGTGATTAGTTACTTTCAGGATACAATTATGCCGCCGCGCGTGTGCGCAACGCCGGACTCCGGTAATTCTCGCTATTTATAATCTCAATGGCAGCATTTCATCCTGCTACGCTACGCGACGCGCCGCGAAGGATCTTTTTGCCGCTGAATCTTTTTCTCGAACGGTTCAGCAATCATCACCGATTGGACAGTGTTTCTTTCTCGCGCTCTTCCTCTCCTCTCGCCTTCTAACCACTGCGCGATATTTGCAAGAGAAAAAAAGAAACAGGAAAAAAAAGAAACTATCGTTTATTAAACACCTTCGGATAAAGCGCAAAAAAGACTTTGCATAATTTGCACCTCGACGCAAGATAACGCTTACTTGTTAACTCTTTCGTCGGCAAAAATGCGGCGTGCGTGCGCGTTTATAACCGGAGGTGATGAACTCCTTGAACTCCTTGCGGCGGCGGCGGCAAGAACTTTAAGAAACGATCAATCAAGGCGTCACGTCGTTATTTCATGCTCGTCTATGTGGAAATAATGAATGTGGCCAATGTGTCGTAATTGCGGCGCATCTCTCTACCCGGTTCGCCGGCAATTTCGAAAAAGCAAGTAACGTGCGGCGGGAAAGGTTAATACCAGCTAAAGTTCAACCGCGCTTCTGACGAGAGAGGCCCGCCGGCGAGGTATCGATACTTCGCGCCGCGTCGGTTTGTAACTCTTACCGAATTAACTAACGCGCATCTCCCTCCCTTTGTTTATTTCTCGTCGATCGAGATTCCAGACTCGTCGGGAAACATTTCAGCGGGATAATGCGAACATCGTTCGCACGTGCGCTGTGCATTCGCGCGCTATACAATCAGCAAAAGTATCGACCCCCGTCCGTGTAATTCCGCGTGTGTCTCCGGCTAACGACAATGTAGTCGAACACTTGGAGCGCGTCAATCCGCGCCAATTTACGTGGATGTCGCGCGAGTAAATTTGCCAAACGAGTCTCGCGACTTCGACCGCGACTGTGACGATTACGACGATTACGACAACTACGACGACGACGACGCGATGTTCACTCGGTTACGCGCGATAATTAAGTGTCGTTCGACGACGTTCGCCCGCAGCCTCTAATATCGCAGCTCGCGTTGTAATATCTGCAATCCGCGCGCGAAACGATTTCGACGCGTGGTGACAACAGGCGCATCGGTGCGCCTCATAATTAGTCGAAAGACACACAGGGACGATGAAATGGAGGGAAGGAGGGAAGAGAGAGAGAGAGGCACGCGTGCAATCATAATTGCCGCGCGCGCGTTCGCGTCGCGGCCGGCACAATCAATTAAATAGCACGTCGAGTCGCGAGATGGAACGGCGGCCGGGTCCATTTATAAAAATCGACGTTCTTTTTTTCCTTCGAATAATCCCTAATTGAGTGCTTCGCGCGCTTGTATCGGAAAGATAAATTTTGAAAAATCGACTGGTACGCACTGTGTAAACGCGAATCGCCGCGTCTCGTTTGCGATGTAAATTTCCGAAATTCATCGGCCTCGAAGATTGTTAATTTCGCCAAAAGTGTTGCGAGATTTACCTCGCGCCGCGCGCTATTCTCTCCTCCTTCGTGCCCGAAGGACTATTTTCGACTGACCCTGCTGCTCTTTTCACTTTTCTCTTTGCCATACGACGGAAATCTCCTCGAGGTATCTCATTTTCGAGTTCTCTCGCGAAATCGTGTGTTGGGTTTCTCAAACGCGATAACACCGTACGATCGTTCGGAATGTAAACGTAGTAAAAGCTGCCGCGCATTTGCACCGGCGACACGCGGGCAATTATCGCGACGGCTGCGCATTATCTCGCATCGACATTGCATTTGAATTCTTAATGCATATCTTTATTACCGGTTCGTGACGTAATCGAGATCGATACGTCGTCCGGTCGGACGTGAATTAGACGCTATTACGCGGTCTATCGCGCTTCCTGCGGATTTTTCCTCCTCCTTCCCCCTCTCTCTTTCTTTTTTCCTCTAACATACGTAACAACAATGATTCCTCGATAACCGGCGTCGTGGCAACGCTTTTTAACCGACCCGCTGCGGCGTTCCTCCTTCGGAAGTTTTAATGAAATGAAAGGAAAAACTCAAGGATGACAGGGAGAGGAAGGATGGGGGTAAAAGTTACGGGCGTCCTGTTACGTCGCACGAACTGAAACTTATAAAACTCGCGTGGGGTCTTCGTTCTCGCTTGTCTTGCCGGTGCGCGCGAACAACTTTGGAAAATATTGCGAGCGGCATATTTGTGTGTAAATATTCGCGAGGAATTAGCGAAATAGTATGACGTAATCCGAGGTCGCGAATACGTCCGGGCATCGGCGTATGGGGAACGTGGGTGCAAGGAATCGCCCCGATAAAGGATACAATCACATTATGGAAATTTTAATTACAGAAAAACCGTTTCCGGGGCTCTCTCTTTTAAATGCGTGACAGGGAGGAGCTAACTGAAAGAGCATTGCAGCTAATTTGAAAATTAATTAAATTAAGTGCCGCTTTCTCGTAACGGGTTTGTCAAATGTAATATTCGATATTTTCGATATCACAAAGGAAAATTCGATAAAACGTTGAAATTATGCTGGAAAAACGTCGGCGGAAAGGATATTGAAATAATACGTAATTAGCTCCTAGGTTATTGATTGGTCGTAACGAGACGTTAAATTTACGAAATTACACACAACGCAACGCACGCGCGCGCGCGCCCGCCTGTCTGTCCGTCCGCGCGAACGCTAAGAGATTGATTAAATAACCGTACGAGGAAATTACGGTAATCCCGTTACCGTGTTCCGCACCGGTTTTAACTGCGTGTGAGTCGCGATATGTACATATATATATATATATATATATATATATATATATATATATATATATATATATGTATGTATATATATGTATGTATATATACGACCTAATCATTAAATCTTAAAAAATAAGTTATTATTAAATAGAGAATCGAACAGTATTACCTGTTGCTGCGCGGCATCACACTGGGCTTCCGGAACGGCCACTTCTGAAATCCCAAAAATAAGTTCGCTTTAAGTACGACATTGAAAGGAAAAATGCCTCCGCGTACGCATCCTTCGCGCGCGCGACCACGATTGAGTGCACGTAGTGACGCGCTGCGCATTAATTACTCCGTCTCTCTCACGGACTGTCCGCGTCTTGTGTCCCTCAAGAGGAAAGAAAAGGAGGCATTTCCACGTGGAAAGGAATAACAAACGCCACTTATTAGCGCGCGATTATTGTTCATCGCGGTATTACAGCGATTCGAAAATGCTGTCGATCGAAGGGGCGAGACAACGGATGCGTATCAAGATTCTGTGCGTTCGCGCACGAGCCGCATTTAAAGAGATGCCAAAGTGCATGACGAAGACGGAAGTGTCGATAAAACATAGAGACGACCGTTAATGCGACGCGATTTCGCACATAGATCTTATACAAATGCGTGTATCACTATTTGCTTTACTTTCTTTTGCTGTATTTGGTGGAAAACATTCACAGACAGATATATAAAAATCTTTTTCTGCAAACATTTGCGAACTGTGTCTTGAAATTCAGTCGTATAGACACAACATTCTTGGAAATTTCCCCGATGGCAAACATGCGTTTGGAACATACAAGCAGAATTCTCGTATCGGACAAATGTTCGCGCTAACTGACAGCTCGAGACGTCAACTCTGAAGATTTTTTTATCATCTCTGACACACACACATACACACACATATATATATGTATATATATATATATATAGCTATGCTCCAGTTAATTTTTCACGTACATTCGTCGCACAAAAGCATTTGTGATTCTGCGCAGCTGATACGACGTGAATCTGCAGCAAAAAAAAGTCGATAAAGTTTTCAAGTGTGGTGTCACCCTTAACTTTTTCGAGCACAGTGATTTCACCGTGACATCACTTATTAGAACCAAGTCGTTCAGGTATAGTGATTTCACAATAGTGAAACCACTCAAGCTGTGCATAGTAATGCACTCTCTATCGGTTTTAAAAATAAGAAATATAATCAAGAAAAATAAAAAATAATAGAAAATAAAGTAGAAAAATAGAAAAAATTAATTTCAAAGAAAGTGACCTCTTAGGTTGACATGAATATTTTAATAAAATCCGAATTTTTAAGGTCCTGTGCTTCAAAGATTGCACTAACAGAGAAATGAAAGACGAACGAAACAAGGGCGCACAGCACGAGATCGCGCGTAATTGACGCTGCTCTTTGTTTTCAGGTATCCGTCGCCGGTGCAGAACGGAGGACCAAACGGCACGACGATGAGCTGCGCGAGTTCTCAAGGTGAGCATTCCATCCTTACGAGTCTCCACGATCCCTCCACCATTTTCCTCTCCCTCCCTCTCTCTCTCCCTCTCTCTCTCTCTCTCTCTCTCTCGGTCAAAAATTCAAAACAATTCCGCTAATTCAATGCGCGGGGGGTGCTACGCCGCAGCGCGCAACGTTCGCGCGTTGCACACATTTAATTACGCTCGCCGCCCGGCGGAATAAAGCCGCCGACTCGCAATAAAAGCTCGCTTCCTGCCTCGGCATACCGAGAGCAGGGGTGCTCGCGCGCGCGCTCATTAATTAGCGGGGTCCGAAAAAATTTCCCCCGGCGAAATTTTCTTCCGATTAAATTAGCGTTGCATTAAATTTATTGGCTGAATTCTTTTTTATAAAGCGGCGCCCCTCGCGAGCGCGCGCGCCCGCGAGATCGCTTCTGTTCGCTCGCTCGATCGATCGATCGTTCTTTCGCTCGCTCGCTCGCTCGTTCATTGGTCGGTTGGTTGGCTCGTTCGCGCCGTGCGCAGCACTTGACGTATATAATTTGCAAATATCAAACGTCGACGGATATTTGAAAATATTGACTCTGGTATTTTAGCCAGAGCGCGGTGGCCGGTCTCTCTCGCGGCGCGGCAAAAAATTATATCTGCCTCATGACGATTCAATATCGCGCGATTATCGCGGCAAAAGGTACCGAGGCGGGGAGAGAGAGAGAGAGAGAGAGAGAGAGAGAGAGAGAGAGAGAGAGAGAGAGAGAGAGAGA